GCTCTGGGGGGTGCGCGTTGGCATTTAACGCTTTCGGATATCTCGGCCTTGTCGAGAGTTATTGGGCCTCTCTAGAATTTATTGGGCCGAAATGGACTTAGCAAAGGCCCCATCGTATACGTCTTGATCCTATTTAGAATATTTGGGCTGTTTATTCATAGGCCGGAATGGACTCTCTAAATGGGCATTCTTCAAATTTTCATGGGCCTGTATAGAAATTTGGGCTGCTTTATACATGGGCCCTGATGGATTTCATCAACGGGCCATCTTGTCTTGGGTCTATTTTGATTATTTGGACTTTTGAATCCATATTGGGCCTATTTAAATATCTGGGCCGGCTTTTTCATAGGCCCACTTCATATTCATGTCCTACAAAAAATAATCGGGTCGGGGCGAGGGGGTCCCACCCGTTTCCGGACCCTTAAAATCGACGGAAATGGCTAAGGCTAATGGAGTTGTGGAGCTTTCCCGCTCAGTTCCGATGAACAGTTTGTCTCCGGCTCATTCGTCGGCATCGATGACCGCCGTCGCTGGAGGCGGCGGAAGTAGCGGCGTCTCCGGCGGTTTGGAAGATTTTCATTTTCCGCCTGACATCGCTTCTGTTCAGGAGCGGAAGGACGAAGCCATGGGAGTGAGCACTGTCTGGATCAGGTGTTTTGAAGTAGCGTATTACTTGATTCGACAACCGCTGTCTGGATTCTAGGTTTTAGGTTTTGTCTTTAGGTTTATTTCTCTGGCTGTTTATTCAGATGGGAGTGAGCACTGCACTTCTTATTCAGTGATTGAATGTTATCGTTGTGGTTTATGGCATAGTATGAGTTGATACCTAAGAAATTCATCTTGGGTGTTACATAGAGGTAATCGTAGTTTTTTGGTGATGATTCTCCTGTTATTAGTTCCTTTTGGCAAAGACTGGAATCTACTGGGATCGCTTAGTTCACTGCATGAATGTGCTCGCCTGAGAATATTTTTCATCTGTTTCGATTAACGTAACGATTCTTCTGCTGTTGTGATGCAGTATTGTAGGCTGATTTAATGGCTGAACTAGACAGGCATGTTAAGTCATTGGAAGATGACGACTGGATATTCGAAGGTCCTCGTTCACGTATCAATCTTATATCCAGAAGAGGTTAGTACCCTGATGTTTTGTTCTGACCCTTGCCTTGTTGTAATGTCGGTGTATGAGACATGCCACGGAACACGGTTACCCCTCACTGTCAAACACGGTTCATGTACTTGGTCTTTAAATGAGAATTCTTGACATCTATCGTTTCTTGGCGGTTTCAACTCTGGTGAATCTAGATCTTTGACTTGAGTATTAAGCTTCGGCATCTATTACGAATTGTGAGTGTGGAGTCATGTTGTTAGGAGAGGATCAAGAGTAAGATTGGGCTGGATTCAAGACTTTCTTCTTGTTTGCTGAATGTTTCACTCTAGGATTACTTGATGTTTGATCATCTACGTTGATGGTAATTGGATGATGTTGTGATCTTGAATATTATGGCATAGAATAGCTCTTCTGAGATCTTTTGTTTTTTTTATTCAAAAGCGTCAGTATCAAAGGCGAACTGCTACTCTTTCATTTCATACACATTGATTTGATCTGTGGTTATGCTCTGAAGTTTGTGCTTTATGGTGTTCGAATCAGGTGGGTATCTGCAGAAACAAGCTGAGGCTGCAAAGAACACAGGATTGGCTCAGCTGTCTAAATGAGAATCTGAAGGTGTTTTACAACCAAATTGTCCACAGAACTTTCCAGATTCAGTTCTTTCCTTATAGAAAACCTTAACTTTCTCCATGTCTTCTTCAGCTTTTATGATATCTGAATTACTGTTTGATTGGTTTTGCCATTTGAAAAACATCTAGAATTCCATTTGTTTTGTCTATCCATTGGTTAGGACAGAGGTCCAGATCAATGATTGATAGTATCAGTGATTAGAGTTGCAAACCCTTTGAATAGTAGGATTCGCCCAACAAAATATAGAGAAAGATCAATGATTTGTTCAATGGAATTTGAGCCGTGTTTTGCAGTTCAAGAGGTGGCTGCTTCTTGTTCTTCTAATATTTTTCAGCTTAATAGTCTTACATATATATATATATGATGATGATGATGTCAGCAAGATTATGTACAAAAGTGTTATGATTTATACCATAAATTGTATATGGAAAACTGTAAATTGAAAAAAAGTTTTTTTTTGTATATAATTGTTGGATTACGCATATAATACATTGTTTTGGTATGCGTTCATATTTGATGGGCCTGGGCCCAAATATTATTTGGAAACCCACATTAAAAAAAACAATTTAAAAAACAAACAAAATGACATGTGGATTGTATGCAAAAAATAAATAAAAATAAATGTATTTACTGAAAAACACATCGATAAAAAAGAAAATACGTTATATATGTAACTACATTTGTTTATAGATTGGGCCAAGCTAATAATCAATTGGCAAGTTAAATGGGCCAAGATGTTATCATAATAAAATCGAATGGTATAATTTTTAACTAATCAGATTGAAATTAAACAAAAGCCTTTGCCATCTTCAACTCCAGTCTTTGAGCAGCTCCTCCTCGGCTACAAAACACATTACAGAGCTTGTCAGGGAAACCGAGACAGCTAATGATGTCGAGGAAGCGGGATCAGAGATTCTGACCTCTTTCGACGCACGGATTGCATTGCTTCTTCTTCTTGTAACAAATGAGACACAAACACAGACTCTCTCACCTTTGATTTTCTACCAACAAGACGGGAATGATTTGTCACGAAGAGGCATCTGAAATCATGTTTCGGCGTGGATCGAAGCTCCAGGGGCAGCAGTGTTCTTACCTCGAAACACTCGCAACACCCAAGGATCATGGCTCTTGCCTGAATGACAAAAGAGAAAAAAAAAGAAGAAGAAGCTCTGTTACAAAGCAATTAGATCCAATGAGGAGGAACGCTGTAAATTTAGGGTTTGACTGAAAACTCGAAAAACAGACTCCATATTACCTGGGTAGGTCTTTGATGTCAGGCGAGAGAAGACCCATCTGTTCGGTCAGCTTGTCCATATGTTTGGCTCTGTCCCACCCATTTTGCTTCCTGTAGCAAATGAGATGGATGAAGAAATGGTGAGTCAAAATTTAACGCAGACTCTCCCATCTTTGATTTTACCATGCCTTGATGGGCATTTTCATCAGAACCTTATGCAGTTTTCCAAAAGCAGGGGCTAAAAAAGTATCTCAACTTCCAGGGGGCATTATTGTTCTTACCTCAATACATCATTTGCTACTGCTCTGCTCCATGCCCTCGAGCTGTTGTTTCGTTTTTTGAAGTTGGCCGTGATGTCCGAGTTCCGACCGAAGAACCATGAGTTTCTGAAGCTTTCTGAGACGAGGCTCGATTTGATTTAGTCTTTGATTTTACCATGCCTTAACAAACATTTTCATCAGAATCTTATGCAACTTCCCAACAAGAGGGGAATGATTTGTCATGAAAAGGCATCTGAAATCATGGTTCAGAGTGGATTGAAGCTCCAGTGGCAATAGTGTTCTTACCTCAAAACACTCAGAATATCCAAAGATGTCTGAATGACAAAAGGAAAAAAAAACAGATCCAATCAGATGTCCAATGAGGAGGCAGGCTGTGCCCAAACAAACAAAGACACAGGATTTATGATATTCAAAACAGAGAAAGTGAAACATAGAGATAATTTACCTGGATAGCTTCTGGCTCTTCTCATCAAACATACAACCATACGATGTTGGCTCTTCTCATCAGCCGTTTAGTACTTGCATCTACTAAGAGAGGAGATCTAAAAACCGCTTTTCCAATCTACCTCCATATACCATATCCATTATCATATTTGAGGTCGATGCATGCATAGAAAAGTCATTGATCCGCATTTCTTGTATCAGCTCGATAACCATCGATGGAAAGCGACTTCTAAGACGACCCCTGATCAATGCGTTATACATACCAGCGTCGGGAAAACAACCATCCTCTTTCATCTTCCCAATTACCTTCTCGACTTCATAGAGTGAATCTTTCCCGCAAAGACCGGAGATCATTATGTTATACATGATAACATTCGGCTTCACCCCTCTATCAAGAAGCTTATTAAATAATATCAACGCTTCGTCAACCCTCCCAACCTTGCACAAACCATGCATCATGCAACTATGGAGAGGTATATGGAGGTCAATCCCACTCTTATCCAACTTATTATATAGGCAAAGTGCCATGTCCGTTTTTCCATTCTTACAAAGTCCATCAAGCAAAATGATGTAAGTCACGAGATCAGGACGATGACCCTTATACTGCATCTCCATAAAAAACTTCTGGGCAGCACCAAGGTTGCCTACTCTGTAAAACCCTTGGATGAGGATGTTGTATGTAATCGCATCAGCAACCAATCCTCTTCGAGACATCTCATAAAAGAGATTAAGACCCTCATCGACCCTATTAGCCTTGCAGTAACCATTTATCATAGAACTAAAAGTTACTACATCAGGTACAATCCCACAACTATCCATCTTTCCGAAAAGGTTCAGTGCACCATCCACGTGTCCGGCTTTGCATAGATAGTCGATGATCGTATGATAAATTACGATATCGATCTCAATATGCATTTCCTCCATCTTCTCGAGTAGATTCATGGCCAATGCATAATCTCTTGCTTTACAGGCCCCGTTTATAACAATGCCAAATGTAACTACATTGGGTTGATAGTCCATCTTTAGCATCTGATCAAGTAAACTCAATGCTTCAGAAACTCTACCCTCAAGGCAAAACCCGTTGACCAAAGTGTTAAATGTTACAACATTAGGTTTGTATCCCTCTTCCACCATTTGGTCAACCAAGTTTAAAGCCGCTGAAATCTTGCCGTGGATACATAAACCATGAGCTAAGATATTGTAGGTGACTACATTCGGCTTGTAACCGAGTTTCAAGATTTTGCCCACGACAGATAAACCCAAAAACACTTGAGGAGAGTGGGAGAAACAGTTGGTGAGAACATTCAAAGAGTAGATATCATGTGACACCCCAAGCAATTCCATTTTCTTGCAGAGGAAAATGACAACATCATACCGTTTCATCTTCATGATTGCACTCAATAGTTTGGTAAAATCGACGATGGAAGGTACGGGACGAGACTGAACCATCTGATCGAACAAATCAACAGCATACTCGACATGACAATCATGAACCCCACATCTCAATCTATCTCTGTATGACATATTGCGGTCTCTAACATCGGAAAAAGACGATCTCCGACAGCTTAAGATGGAGGACCAGTGCAAGAAGTTGTTCAGAGTACCTCTTCTTAGGGGATGAGTCTGAAGTAGACCTGAGGCAGAAGCAAATGCAAAAGCAGCCATTCTTCGGACCACTGCCGTCATCTTAGCTTCCATTCAAAGAGACAGAATCAGAAACCCCCACAAAACCTTATCCTTTTCGAACCTGATTCAGAAAGCCAAAACCCAAGTCAACACTCAATTCTAACATAAACAGATTACACGAATTTAGCGTAAAAACTGATATGAGAATCAATTCAGACAAGAGAAGAGCCGACCGCAATCAACATAAAAACTGATATGAGAATCACTTCAGACAAGTACGAAAATC